CCCCCTCCCCCTCCCTCTCTCCCCCTGGACCCCCCTCTCTCCTTCCCCTTCTCTCTGTCACTCCTCCTCTCCCCATCTGTTTGCCGTCTGTCTCTCTCCGTCTGTCCCTGTCTCCGTCTGTCTCTTCCTGACTCTTCCTACCTTGTCTGTCCCTCTCCTCTGTCCCTCTGTCCATCTTGCCCACACCCTGACCCTGTGCACTCTTCTCTCGGCAGGGGTCTGCTAGGCCGGCCAGGCTCGCGGGACTCGGAGCTGCTGCGGCAGTGCCGTGGCTTGGAGCAGATGCTCTGGGGGCTGCCCTGCTCCTGGGTGCAGGTGCCCGCCCATGAGTGGGGCCACGCAGAGGAGCTGGCCAAGGTGGTGCGCGGCCGCATCCTGCAGGAGCAGGCCCGCCTTGTGTGGGTGGAGCGCGGCAGCAGCAGAGGCTGCTGCAGCAGCAGCGAGGCCTGAGGCCCTCCCAGGCCCAGGGCCTCCTCGGCACTCAGAGGCTGCCAGCCAGCGGAACCCATGTCTGCGGGGGAGCTGGGTCCTCCCACCTGAGCCTTTCTAGACCTTGGACTCCTGGACGTGGGACACTTGGCTCTGGGTTCTCGTCCTGGCCCGGGCGAGCCCACAGGAGCCCGAGGGACACAGCTCCCACTGCCCTGTACTTGCTGCTCTGGGCCCTCCCACCTGTCCCGTGTCTCCGTGTGGCCCTCGTGGGTCTCACGTGTGTGTCTGTCCTCCCCTTCAACATGCCCCAGAGTCTGTTCTCAAACTGTGCACACCCCAGTTCTCAGGCCGGCCCGGGCCCGTCCCTCCGCCAGGGCGCACAAGGTCTCCCACGGTCCTTAGCTCTGCTGCCAGGAGCACCGAGCCCACTCCCATGTGACTCCCGCCACCCCACTCTCATTTCCCGGGTATTCGGCCACCTGTGGACACCGTGGCTTCCCTGGTCCACAGTCACCTGTGCCTCATGGTTCTCTCCACTGCGTCCGTGGTTGTCTCCTGTGTTATTGTCACGCTCTACTCCTGTGACATGTGGGCACCAGTGCGTGTGTTCCCAGTGAACACGCCCAGGGCGTGTCTCCCAGGGCCCGCTCCCTGACTGCGCCCGCCTCTCGGTGGGGTGGGGGCTGGCTGCCCTGTCATTAGAATGTATGGCTCGTGGGCTGGGAATGGGCCCTCTTCACTCAGAAGCTGCACATTACAGAGCATTAAACACTGTTTTGTCATAGACGCAGGTGGCCTTCTGCTTGCTTGTGCACCTGGCCCGGCGCCCTTTCCAGCTCCTTCTATTTGTCCCCACCCCCAGCTCAGGCTGACACCACCTCTCAGCTCCCTGCTCCCCCAGCTCCCCCAGCTCCCCCATCGGGAGGGTCAGATTCCTATCCCAGCAGCGCTCGCCATCTGTGCTGGCGTCACCTTACCTGCCCCAGGATGACCAGAGGAGGGCCCCACAGATGGGCCACCCCAGCGCTCAGCCCTGCCTGCAGCTGATCATCAAAGGAGTGTCCCCCGGAGCCAGCAGGGCGTGGACCCAGACTGAAGGCACCTGGCTGCTGAGTCTGGGTCAAGAGCAAATGCTCAGTGTGCAATCAGGTCCCTGAGACAGCTTCACCAGAGAGGCTGGTTGCCCCCAAAGGGGGCAATCCAGGCAGCCTTACTGGAGGAGGTGCCACTTGAGCTGGGGGTTGAAATTCCTTTCTTCAAGAAGCATTTATTAGACCTATGTGCCTAAGCGTAGCTGACTGCCCTTGGTCATAGTCAAGGACAATTTGGGCAGACCCCTGGGGGGTTTAGGGGGAGTGGGTGGGTGTGCTAACAAGGTGGTCCAGCCTCAAGAGCAAAAGCTCAGAGGCAAAAAATGGGTTGTTTGGACCCCTGGGGGTGGGGCCGCAGCCTGTCTTTAGTGGGCAGGGGCTACAAGGAGGGGCTGCAGAGAAGAGGTGGGCGAGGGGCCTCAGAGGCTGGGCCACGTGGGGGAAGGTGGTTGGGGATACTAGGGTGGAGGGTGGGCCCAGGCTGTCCCAGGAACCGGGAGTAGCATCTGTCCCAGGATGGAGTGCCGGGTGCAGAGGGCAGTGTGGCTCGGTTGAAAGCTAGGTGACCTTGGCAGTTTGGATGGCCTCTCTGAGCGTGGGACCCTTCCCGGTGGACAGGAGGCCAAGACAGTGGGGTGGGCGTGGAGGTGCCGGTTGGCTGTGGCCAGGTCGGCAAGTGTGGCTGGGGCAGACTCTTGCTTGGGACACCTGGCTCTTCCCACCCTTTCCAAGACCAGGGTGACAAGGGCACTCACTGACCCCAGGGCACAGGGTTGGGTGCTTTGTCCCTTGCCATCCGAGGCTTTCTCGGGTGCTGACCCTCCTGGTCCCTCCAACCGCATCCTCCCCACGTTAGGCTGCAAACCTGCCCTTAGCTGTACCATCGCCACGCCTTTGCTCATGCTGGCTGCCCTGGCCGCTCTTCCTGCCTAAATCCTCCTGACCTTTTAGGCCTGGTGGAGGCACCTCTGCCACAAAGCCCACCAGGTCCTCCCAGCTCTTGGGACTTCCGGACCCAGCCATGTTCTGCCTTGTGGCAGGTTGCGGGGTCTCTGGTTGTCTCTGGATGGCTGTAGCTCCCTGGACCCCAGTGGGAACTGGGTCATGCACATTTGGGTAAACAAACCCCCTGCCCCCAGCATGTGCCTGGCCAGTGCTTGGTCTTTGGACACAGGTGTCTGGGGAAAGGCTGGGGCTGGTGGCTTGGCTACCTTGCCTGTCCTTGTGTTAGGTGGCCTTTCTGTGGGGAGAAGCCCACACTCATCCTATAATTGTCACCAAGTCATATTTTTGTCCCTGTTTTAGAAATGACGAGAGTAGTGCTGGGTTCGGTGGCTCAGCCCGTAATCCCACGCTTTGGGAGGCCGAGGTGAGTGGATTGCCTGAGCCCACGGGTTCGAGACCCGCCTGGGCAACTTGGCGAGACCTCGTCTCTACAATAAACCAAAAAATTAGCCGGGCATGGTAGCGCGTGCCTGTAGTTCCGGTTACTTGGAAGGCTGAAGCGGAAGGATCGCCAGAGCCTGGCAGGTCGAGGCTGCGGTAGCTGGGAGTGAGCCACTGTCCTCCAGCCTGAGCAATAGAGTGAGACTCCACCTCAGAAAACAACAAAAAAAACCCCCAAAACAAAACAAATAAAAAAGAAACGACAAGAGTAACTTTTCCAGAGTCACACAGCCAGCGAGAGGCCCTGTCAGGCTGTGAACCTGGTCTGTGGGACACAGGGCCTGGGACTGTCCCTTGGTGTTGCTGTGAAGGGACCCAGTTAGGGGCTGGCCCATGGGAGGGTGACTCAGAAGGGCTGGTGTTCCCTTCCTCTGCCCCCCTGTCATGCAGGGCTGGGCCCCACAGCTCAGTTCACCAGCCATTCCTTGTGTTCAACAGCTATTTATTGAGCTCCTACGATGTGCCAGGCACTGCTCTGAGCACTGAGGGCTGGGGACGCCATAATTAAAAAAGAAGAAATTCTGCTCTGATAGCTCTCGTGAGGAAGACAGACAGCAAACAGACAACGTATTCAGGATGTGAAAGTTGGAAAGTGCTACGGAGAAAACAGCAGAGCAGGGGACTCAGGAGAGACAGGCCTGGGGGGCTGGGCAGGAGTGGGGGAGGGCTTGCAATTTAAACCAAGTGGTCAGGGAAGGCTTCATGGCAAAGGTGGCATTTCGTGTAAAGACCTGAAGGAAGTGAAGGCGTGGAATGTGCAGATCTCCAGGGAGAGTGCCCAGGTGGCCACAGCAAGCGCAAAGATTTGGAGGAGGCTGCAGGCCTGGACCGGCTCAGAGCCCAGTGGGTCTGGAGCAACGGGCCAAGAGGGGGGGGGCGGTAGGAAATAAGGTGAAGGTACCTGGGGACCAGCTCAGATAGGGCCTTATGGACCAGTATGTGCTTTTGGCTTGTGTCCTGAAGAAGATGGGAGCCCGTGCAGGGCTGGAGCAGAGGAGGGAGGAGAAGTGAGTGACCTTATGCAAAACAAGGCGGAGGCAGTGACTGGAGGAGGCCCTCTGACCACCCCCTGGCCTGCCTGGGAGAGGCCACTGCAGAGACCGACAAGAGAGGTGGAGCACGGGTGGACCATAGCAGTCAGGCCTCTGGGGCTGAGTTATTGCAGCATCTTTGATCATGCCATGCTTCTGTGCCTGTGTCTTCAGCTATAGACTAGGAATGACAAGGTCCCAGCACTGTTGTGAAGACGAAAAGAAACAAGCAGAGGATGGTGGGAGCCTCAGAGGTTGGGAAGGGGCATCCATCGGGAAAGCTTCCTGGAAGAGGGAACCCTGGAGCTGAGCTTTAAAGCCCAAATAGAATTCAGCCTGGCAGAGGGAACGTGGAGAGGACAGCGGGATATGGGGAGGGCATCCTGGAGAAGAAACTGAGCAAGGCTGGGAGGCTGGGTGAACAAGGACACTGCAGAGTAATGGCTGCCGAATGAACCAAGCCCACGGGTCTCTGGGGAGAGGGGCGGTGGGGGGCCCCTCCCTTCCACAGGGCCTGGAGGGTGTGTTGTCTCCCTCCCCCCACCCCGCAGCAGCTGGCAGGGCCTGGGCTGCCCCCTCAGCTGGTGCCTCCTATTCAGCCACCCCTGGGGCGCTCTTCATCTGGCCCCGCCCCCTGGTTGAGTGGGG